GATCCGAGTTGGGAGTTCTGTGGCCCTTGAGCACAGGCACATGCTCGACGTTTCACGCCAGGAGGGTGTATGTCATGTTTAACCTTTCATGGCAAATCGCTTTTTGTGTTCTGGTTGTTTTCCTCCCCCCCCCCCCCCCCCGCCGCCGCCACACCTTCAATTAGCACGGTTGGGAACGTACGGTACCAAAGAAGTTCAACATACGTACGTACATTGGGCATGGCGACAAAATGTTACCAATTGTAATCAGGAAGTGGAGGTTGTGATGGGTAATGCACAGGAGAGTACCGCAACGCTAGCCTGCCACGGTGGAGAGATGTTATTTACCTCGCCTGGTATACCAAAGGTCGTGGGTTCATTCCCAACCATGACAATGCCTGTATATATGGAGTTGGCAAGTTTTCCCCACGGTCACGTGGATTTTTCTCCGGGTCCTCCGTTTTTTCGCTCCGCGTTTAGTATAAACATGCGTTTTGGAGTATTTGGCCTCTATAAATTTCCACGCGATGATAAACCACTTCATTGAGCTATGATTTGTGGCCAGGTCGCATCTGAAAAAAAGCTGCGTATAGCTCAAATGGGCCTTACCTGGTAAAATAAAAATAGTTTAGTAGTTGTTTTTGTTATTTAGTTATCGAGACAGGCATTCGAGTCAATAATAGAGCTTTTTGGGTTAGATCGTGTAAATATAAATGTCGTTAAACCTGCCACCACCAAACACAGCCATTAAGTAAGTTTTATCACGTAAACAAAACATGCCAATTCGTTACTAGTACAGCACACCAATTGTACATTTACAATTGTACATTTACAATTGTACAATTGTTTGCACAACATTGTTTGCACAACATTAACAATTGTACAATTGCAAACATGACAATTCGTCACTCGTACAGCACACTTGTGTGTTGGAGAGTAAGCTCACAACATCTACAATTCACAACATTGTAAATGTTGTGAGCTTACTCTCCAACACACCAGTGTGCTGTACGAGTGTCGAATTGTCATGTTCTGTTTACGTAATAAACCCTTATTAATTGGCTGTGTTGGGTGGTGGCGGGTTTAACGAAACGTTTACATTCACGCGATCTAACCCAAAAACCTCTAATGGATAATTTTGGTCGCGAAAGACTACGTGTTTAACTTTACTTTCTTGAGCTTGCGCGGCTGAGCGGTACAGTGATATAGTACATGGGATGATGATGATGATGCAGTACGCGGAGGCAAACCCTCTCATCTCAGTTCTTTGTCGTGCCATTGGATGACTGCAGGCCGACATTCCTGTGCAAATGTGAATTAGTGGAAACTAATTTCTCGCTCAGCGCGGTTTTCGCTTCACGCGGATCTTGTCAGGAACGCGTTGAACGTGAGACTTCTAGATTTGAAGTCCGTCTCCACCTGAAGACGGACGCTTGTGTTGCGCCCGAAACGTCGTGATTTAATTGAATTGTTTTCATTTTCAATTTCTTTTATTTTTACCTACGTGACTTTACCGAAAAAAAAACAAAGAATAGAAAGGTTTACTGTATACCAAAACTACAACACGAAATGCATCGAGTATATTTCAATATAATGCCACACATCATTGACTGGTTAAAAAAGAGATATATATAAAGCCTACATATGGTAATGGGGTCAAAAGGTTAGAGTTCAAGGGTCAAGGGTTACTATCTGTCCTTTGTAGCTGTTCTCATTAGAATCACAGCATTAACTAACACAAACGCCTCTTATAATTAAAACAGATCCTGAAAAGAAGCATGTTTATTTTCTGGTGAAAAGGGCTTAACATTCACAATAGCAGAACATTTAAAATGTAAATTTGATCAAAATTGCAAGGTATTTTTTTTAAATGCCTGACAAAACCGAGTGAAAGCAATTGCCGTAGTGAGTGTTAGTCACGTGTAGTTTTACTCTATTTCTTTAAAACATTTTGTTTAAGGAGGAACTTTTATGTAATTTCATACATAACTGTCACACGAGAAGCATCATTTGTGTCTACGTCTGTGTGTGTTTGTGTGAGGGGAGCAGTAGTGTCACGCATTGAACATAAAAACCTGATGAAGATTACTCGTGAGAGAGGTCCATTCGGTCCATCTAGCTCATTCTGTTGAGATATTTTGAAATGTACCTATTTTCAATGAGAAAACGTGTGCTTTTGTGTCATTCCTTCACATAAAGTCCTGGTCACAAAAGCAAAGTTTGTGGGGAATAGCCATTTTCGATACTTTTGAGGTATAAGCAATTAGAAAATAACACTTAATACCCAGGAACAAACATCGTATTACATAGTGACTCGTGTGTTGATGTCACCTATCCTTCCTTACACACGATGTTTTTCCAAATACAGTACGTTAATATCAATAACAAAGACACGTAATGCATAAGCATATGCAAACATGCATAAGCGTGTGTATAATATATGTACACACAAAACTAATAGATACAAACATTGTTCTTTCGAAAATCAAATTACTAACACAGGAACGATTTATTTTACTCCAAGCAAGTGAAAGCCATCATTTATTTTGTTCTAACATATTCAAAATAATTTCATCTCGGCATCTGCACCATGTTACCCAATTAACTGTTTATACGTAGCTGTTAAAATGTGAAATATGTAACGGTAAGATATGTGTTGAAGAATAAGGCTGATTTTTTGCTCATTCAAGCCTACGCATGTGTATACTACGGATGTGTGCGTTAATTTATGAGCACATTTTTTTCATTTTCAAACGGGAAAGAAAAAAACTAATTATTTACACATTGAGAGCCTCTTTAGAAAGTATGAACATTTGTAGGAAAAATCAATAATTGAATTGTCACACGACACAGCTTGATCAATCCCGGCACAGGCATTATTGCAACTGTAATAATTACTCACAACAGGTAGGCCCCACACCAACAGAATTAGCGCAGGAGATGTTAATCATTTGTCCGTCGCGGTGGTGAGATGTTAACTACCTCACCGAGTATACAGGAGGTTGTGGGCTCGATCCCGACCCTGACGAAGCTTGTATATTTGGAGTTTGCATGTTTTCCCTGTGGTCACGTGGATTTTCCTATGGGTCCTCCGGTTGTTTTCCCCTCTACATTCAGAATCAACGTGCGTTTCGGAGTATGTGGCCACTATAAATTTACACACGATAAGGCACTTTTTTGAGCTACAATTAGTGGCCTGGTCGCTTCTGAAAATGAGCTATATATCGCTCAGTGACTTTACCGAAAGAACCAAGAATATATAGTTTTAATAGTTTACAGTTTGATCCTCGTAACAAAGAGACGTGGGGACTTTGTCGGCAGAAGGGGAGAGAAATCGAGAGGTGGTGGATGACATTCCACCTGCTCTTTGTCACGAAACACTGCGACATGGAATGCGCCACCCATGTGGAAAATAATTAGCGAACATTAATTGGGGAAAAAATAGCGAGATGAAATTAGTGTGACGTTTGAATCTAGTTTACTGACGAGAGCGTTAATGTTGCTTGCATCTTTATTTATTAATAACTATTTTCCCAGAACTGTGAATTTGTTTTCCAGCGGTGATGTGTTTATTCCATCGTGTCGGTAATTTAAAAAAAATGTAACATTTACAAAAATAGATACTCAGAAAATTGCAGGACCACAACCCTAAAATGTAGTGCAATTAGCGGTACGTTAAAACAGTCGGTTTAAAATATAATTAAGATATAAACTGCTAACTTGAGAAAGAATACTTTACACGCATAAAAAAAACTGGCCTGTGCTTGAAATGCATTTACAAACTCGTTTGTCTCAATATTTCAGTTATTCCCTTTCACGTGAATGTTACCAGTCAGCAGGTTTATAGAGTATTTCTCAGAAGCCATACGCAGAAGATCTTTTAAAGCACAGCACGCAACTTTCTGCAAGTGTGAAAGAAAAAATAAAATCTTATTCGTTTTTGAGATTATACTCCATGAACGCGCACACACACGCACAGACATCATGTAATTCGTCCAAAGAGCTCACACCCAGATAAAGTTAGAAAGTCACAATTGAAAACACACAGAACTAATTATTTTACATCCGCCCCACTCCCCACCAAACACACACACATTGCAAAACTTTGGAAAATTTCTACATGACTGCGAACCCTAACGCTGCATAAATTTTATGGCTGAAAAAAAATATAGAAAGGGACATTTTAAATTTAAATTAATTCAGATTTTTAATTATACTTAATACAGACCAAATGCACTTGTTTTACGCTATGCACAATTTTTAATATGCCGCACGGGAAAGTTGGTCTCTGTTCCCATGCTTTCAGAAGGGGAAACTTAATTAACTACATTAAGAGTTATAAGGATTAGGTTACAAAGTAAGAGTAACTCTGAATAACTTTTGAAGAACCAGAGATCTGCACGAAAGGAGATAGGAAGGGCTGACGTTCATATCCCTGAGGACCAAATAATGACATCGTAATGCAGAGGTGTCAAGCAAATTACATATTGGAATTCCAAGGATTTGCATGAGCCTGAGCCAGCCTGCTACTGAGATGTGCACAACTGTGCATACAAAAAACCCTACTCCAATAGTTGCTCCATCGCGTTTATCAGCAATGTGCTAAGGCCCGAGTTTGAATCCTGCCTGTGGCTAACATCAATGGCACGTGATATCTGACATTGGTCCTGGGGCCACCTTTCCCTCAGTGACATGTCAGCGAAAGCTCTTCATTCAGCAGTGGATTGATAAAGGGCAGTGAATTCGTTGTATTTTCTTCATATATATAAAAATCAAAACCTCAAAATTCAAGCAGCCCACACCCATCATGAACGCCTGTTGAGCAAAAATACGAAACACAACCACAAGTCCACTCGCATGGTTGATGTTGTTGTTTTTTTAAATTAGTGACGAAAGTACAAACGTCGTTTCTCCCCACACAGCCCACGGGGTTGACCCCATGTCTCCGCGTCAAACATCACTTCGGCTTAAATACGAACCGCGCTGCAGACTTTGCTCTACTCTGCACGAGGGCAGCTTACGTGGCGAACGAGGCTCACCAGAAGTCGGTCGAACTCCCCCCGGAGCGAACGGGTCTGAAGCTTTAAACGGGTCGGCCTACGGGTGGGGGGTGGATGGGTAGGGGGGGTGGCACAGGGGGGCGAAGCGACAAAGGCATCGTTACGCACGCGCATGAGAGCAAGCGGTCACTCGGATACGTGATTCACACTTCAGCACCTCCGATTAGCACGGTTGGCTACGTGCGGTGCAAAAGAAGTTCAACGTACAAACATCCCCCCCCACCCACTATGAAGTCTTGAGCACCAGTGTCTTTCTCAGCATCGTTCAGTTAGTGTGTTCGCCATTGAGTACTCAATGAACATATCGAGTATCTATGAGCATCCAAATAATACTTTAATAATACTTTCGTACCTTTGCTCTGGTTCACTGGCATGTATCGTCTGCCAGCAAGGGGGTGATTTTGCTTCATGGCTTTGCCCAACGTCTAGAATTTTGGATAAAACCCATAGTGTCTATGCGCACATAGAATCCTTCCAGAACAGAATTGCGTACCTTTCTCTGAGATGAGCACGGGGTTTAGTCTCAATTTGAAGTGAAATTTCCGATTATTTAAGTCAGTGATGACTATAAGAGGTATTTGGGTTAGATCGCGTAAATATAAATGTGTCGTTAAACCCACCACCACCCGACAGCCAATTAGTAAGGTTTGTCACGTAAACAAAACACGCCAACTCGTTAAGTGACAAACCTTACTAATTGGCTGTGTCGGGTGGTGGCGGGTTTAACGCGACATTTATATTTAAGTAACCTAACCAAAAAACTCTCTATTATGGCTAATATTGGTCGCAAAAGCCTACGTGTTAAACCAGCGATGACGACCGGTTATCGGCTACATTATTCGATGGACCTGATAACCCAAACATGGTCGGTCAAATTAAATCAAGTTCACGAGTAAATTTGGTGTCCGCACCATTGTGATACAACGAACGCCAAGGGACTGGTGGGTGGCGCATGCCACAGTGGAGACAAGGGCTGGCGGACCCCACAAATGTTACCAAGCATCCTTCCCGTCCGTGCACGTCAAGGTCACGCACCCTGGCACGCCCTTGAGAATGCGGCACGGCAAAATGCCGACTTATACCCCATCTATCCCTTCTTTATGGGATAGGGTGCTGGCCCCATTGCTCGTGTGGGTTTTCTCCGGGTGCTCCGGTTTCCTCCCACATATCAAAAAAAGAATTCATTGGCTGAACAAATCTTAACACAGAGGACCACAGAACTCGAATAATTGTTGGCGCCGGCTTGCCGCAACGGATGCCTTCCCGCTTGTCTTCGATTTCCTCGCGGCTCCGAGTCGTTCTCTCTCTCTCTCGCTTGCGGAAGAGTGAGCGAATGTTCCGTGACGCGTCGCAGTTTGAAATAATTGTTCTGCTCAAGGCGGATAAGTGACGGCTAGACACCCGATGTCGTACTTTAGTTAAACGTGTTTACGTCAGTGACAATACTTCCTGCCTTGAGGGGGACCTCTGTGGTCTACGTTACTGTCAATAACAAATCTACAACTTATACTACAATTGCAACTAATTTGTTTTATGCAGCCTCATTAAACAAATAAATGTATACTTTGTTTACATGTGAACACGGAAGACTGGCTGTTATCAAAAGTGGAACTACTGTGGTCCCAAAGGACCGAGGGTTAGTGACCTGTGATGAAGTAACACAACAGATGATAAATTCAGACTAATTGGGAACAAATTAGTTAAGCATATCATGTGTAGTCGTTAAAACCAGACAGGGTTAAAGGTAAGCTCACTATTGGCAATGTACCGGCAGTGTAACTTTAACAAATCATTAGTTTTGAAGCGAATGTGAAAATTATGTTGAGACACCAGGCACACTCGTGAATGCAAATATTATAAATGCAGTGTTTCTTCATCCAAAAAGAACGTAAACACTTTAAATTAGGACTTACACGGAATTCTACAAATCCTGGTTATCTCATTTTCATGCCAATGAAGCATTCCGTTCTTGCAATGCCATGTAATGATAACACGGACACAACAAAGCCTCGTGAACAGAAATAACATGTGCGTTTTTTTTTATCTTAGCAGCAGCGGTACCCTCAACATGATGAATGGAAGCGGCCGATGGCTCTGCAGGACAACTCTACCCAACTGCCTTGATATTTAGCTTAAGTGTTCCAGAGACTGAATTAAACTTTGCGACGATTGAACGCGCGGCAATGAGACGCCCCCGTGGCAAAAGCCTGAAGGACGACTGGAAAGAGTCACGATGCATGTGTGGACAAAAGGTGCAGCAATTAGTAAGAACAACGCCCTGACCTCAATGTAAAAATGGCTTGAAAATCGGACCGTAGTTTAACAAAGTTCATCACAATTTCTTGCATCTCATGCCACTTGCTGGTGTACGTGCCTCCACTACAAGTCCACCAAGATAACTCCTCTAGAGGATTTTGGCCTACTCTTCCATGCTGGTCAGACACCTTGGTAAGAGGTGGGTGTACCCATGCTTTACATCATCACAAGCATCTTGTCGATCGACTACGGTGAACCGAGCTGGCATGCCGGGATATCGAATCGTCGACCTCTGGATTGTAAGTCAAGTCTGCTAACCCTTATACGATGGCAGCATCCATTTGTATATGCATAGTAGTCTGTGCATGAATAAATACCCGTCGTTGAGTGACGCTCCCCCCTCCTACCTGCTCGCCCCCTCCAGCCCACCCCCTGGCACCCCCCACCACCTGGGCCCCCCCTTCCCTCGTGCCCCCTCCCCTGCCCCTGCACGCTGGCCGGTGAATGGCCTCCAGTCGATCAGAATGCTGGGAGAAGACTGACAAAGCTGTCAGATTTATTTTGTGTTTGCTAATAACACGATTATAGCTACCTTGGTGGTGGTGGTGCTGCTGTTGAACGGGTCCGAGCTGTTGGATGAGAAGGGGTCTTCGGCGATTGCCTTGGAGAATGGCCCCGCCGATTTGGACCTAAACGGGTCGGCGTCACTGCCTGCCCTCGAGAACAGATCCGCAGACGAAGCCCCGGGCTTCGAGAAGGGATCGGAGCGACCGCCACCACCACCTCCGCCGCCACCACTAGCGCCGGCAGTGGCCTTCAAGAAGGGGTCGCTCGTGGTGCTGCTGCTGCTGCTAGCGAAGAGACCTGGTCCGGTACTCGGCTTGCCGAAGGGCTCTTTGGGAGCCGGCGTCGAGGTGGAGGAGGTGGTAGTGGTGGTGGCGAGGCTGGACTTGCCGGGCTTCCCGGCAGAGGAGCCTCCAAAGGGGTCGCTGCCCTTGAATGGGTCCTCGCCAAATGGGTCTGCGTTATAGGGGGCGAGGCGACGCGGAAGAAAAACGGCCGAGCATAAGGAAAACGTCACGTGGCTCGGGGGACATGTCGCGAGAAGACAAGAGGTGATGAAGGTATAAGCATCAGGGAAGAGCCTGAGAAAGCGGCGGTTCCAAGCGGTGAACCAGGCTGCCATGGAGTGAACGTGGAAATGGCCCAGAATGGGAATGAGTGCAAAAAGAGGATCGGGAAGCCAGACCCCCCAACGCATGAGTGGGAAAGTTTCAGGAAAAAAAAGAGAATGAAACCTCTCTCTCACTGTAGACTTTTTTTTTTACCGAAGGCATCTTTAAAAAAAATGTAAAAGTCTAAATTTTTCGCACTCAAGTAAACACGAGGAATTGCTAAATTTCCTGCTTCCAATCTCGATACCATTTCAGAACACTTGGCCTCCTCTACTTTAGAACGAGTTAGGTTCCAGAGGTCTGTTCATAAGTCGATTTGTTCGTTAGTCCAACTTTTCTCCTGTCGATTCCAAACATGTTGTACGGCGTGTCCACTAAACACGAGGAATAGCTTTAAAAGTTGCATAATCTCCTGTAGATGCCACTGGTTCTTAATGTTCTGCAGATGTAGATGCCACCACCGCCATCTATTGCATGGTGGTTGAACTTACGACTCTCGGTCTGAACAGGCAACTGGACATACGAACAGGTTTGTTCTTTTGATTTAAAGCTTTCGTGACTGCAGGGATTCATATTCTTGGTTCTTTCGGTAAAGTCACGTAGAAGGGAAACAATAAAATAATAAAAATATAAAACAATACAATTCTCACGACGTTTCGACTGCAACACAAGCAATCATCATCAGGTGTGAAAACCACAGCAAGAACATTTGAAAAAAGTGGCGGTTTTTTTAACGTTAGCACCACGGAGAGCGATTTGGCAGTTATTCAAATGGCCGAGTCCATCTATGTTCGGAAAAGAGGAGGGGGAGACGAAAATAATGGATGCAATCTGAAAGCCACCGTAAGTGTGAACAATCAATTAAGACCCGATATAATTGATCAAATCCTTCCAATTATTGCTAAGCCAGAATCCATCTTCTCGGTTGAAATTGTCTCTGTGTTTGTATATGTGGATAGCCTCATGAACGAATCTCTCATGATAGCCAGATGGCTTGCAGAGAACCTCTGTCTTGGAGAAGTCAATGTCATGTGAGCCAACTGAATTATAACAGTGATCTGCCATGGCCGAGGTGTTGGTCCTACCGTGTTTAAGGTCTGGTTTGTGTTCATGAATGCGGTCCGAGACATGTCGTTTGGTTTCTCCAATGTAACTACTACAACAGAGGCAACTTAGTTTGTAGATGCCAGGGTACTGTGTGTCCGGAATCACATCTTTTACCAACGGAACCAGGACCCTCTTGAGGAGCCATTCAAAACCATCACTTTACCTTACATTGCGGGGGATCACAAAAAAGGTCTCCAAAATCTTGAATAAACACAAGATCCAGGTCCGATTCAACACATTACATAAAATCCGTGATCTTGTTCCATCTGTAAAAGATGTGATTCCAGACATACAGTACCCTGGCGTCTACAAACTAAGTTGCCTCTGTGGTAGTAGTTACATTGGAGAAACCAAACGACATGTCTCGGACCGCATCCGTGAACACAAAGCAAACCTAAAACATGGTAGGAACAACACCTCGGCCGTGGGAGATCACTGTTATAATTCAGTAGGCTCACATGACATTGACTTCTCCAAGACAGAGGTTCTCTGCAAGCCATCTGGCTATCATGAGAGATTCGTTCATGAGGCTATCCAAATATACAAACACAGAGACAATTTCAACCGAGAAGATAGATTCTGGCTTCGCAATCATTGGAAGGATTTGATAAATCGTGTCGGGTCTTAATTGATTGTTCACGCTTACGGTGGCTTTAGGACCGCATCCATTATTTTCGTCTCCCCCCTCCTCTTTTCCGAACATAGATGGACTCGTCCATCTGAATAACTGCCAAATCGCTCTCCGTGGTGCTAACGTTAAAAAAGAAACACAACTTTTTTCAAATTTTCTTGCTGTGGTTTTCACACCTGATGATGACTGCTTGTGTTGCAGTTGAAATGTCGTGATAATGTTATTGTTTTATATTTTTATTATTTTATTGTTTCCCTTCTACGAGACTTTACCGAAAGAACCAAGAATATAATAGGTTTGTTCTTATCTCTGAAAATTCCTAAGTCGAATGATCGTAAGTAGAGGAGTCCCTGTATTGTTATTTCTATGGTAGGGATGAGTCGGTCCATAAGTCAACCAATGTTTCACCATCATCATCTATCCCTTAAAAAAATGGCCATAGGAGTGCCACTGATACCTCAGCTGTCAGCTCTGTCCACCCGTAGATGCCCTCCACAGCAGTCTGTCAGGTGTTGTGCAGGTATACCAGCGGTAAATGTCGACACATTTTTTCATAGACTGATCTCGGGTCATCTTCTTCTTCCTTCCACAACGCTCCATGAGTTCATGTCCCCCTTTTTGCGTCACATGGCGAAACCATGTCAGTTTCCTCAACCAATGTTTAATTTTTGATTTAAAGCTTTCGTGACTGCAGGGATTCATATTCTTGGTTCTTTCAGTAAAGTCACGTAGAAGGGAAACAATAAAATAATTATACGTGACTTTACCGAAATACCAACAATGTTTAATTGTTTACACAAATTTGGTCCTCGTTCTATCAACCAGAGATATAAGGCCCCGTCGACCCACAAACTGGCATTTGAACTCGAAACTTTCAAATTGTGAGCCGCACATTATAATCACCGATTTTCCCAGGCAGATGGTTTGGTTTTTTTTTTTCCACTGGCAATGAAGGGTTTTTTTATTTTATCCATCTCTTGGGATTAGCCACAACATTTGGTAATTAAACTGCAGTGATGGACCAGTGTTACTCATAAACACTCACACCAGAAATAATATACTAATCATGCTTTAACACAGCACTGTGAATGTGTGTGTGTATATATGTGAGCAGTCTAGCGATGAGCGCGCTGCGCTACGAACCCGGCGACCAGAGTTCAATTCTCCGCTCACGGCCACCAATAGTGACGATTATCTGAACCGATCCTGGGCCTCCCCTATGTCGACTCAGCCTTAAATGAGTACCTGGTGCGATGTGTAAACATCGCAACTGGGGAGACAAAGGTGGCCCGGCGTGGTGCTGGCCACCCACTCCCTCGTGTGTCATGGCCGGCCATTATAGGTGATGGCTAAAAGCACTTGCCCCAACAGCCTGTTAAGGGTACACGGAGGATCTGTCTTCATGTGTGTATACCTAGTGCTGTGTGTAAACCACAGTACGTACTGGGGAGAGACAATGGCAGCCAGGCATGGTTCCGGCCACACCACCCCCTCGTGCGAAGTCATGACCCTTCGTAGGTACGCGCTAACAGTACTTTCCCCAAAAGCCTACTGTGAGGGAAAAAAGTATTTGATCCCCTGCTGATATTGTACGTTTGCCCACTGACAAAGAAATGATCAGACTATAATTTTAATGGTAGGTTTATTTGAACAGTGAGACAGAATAACAACAAAATCCAGAAAAACGCATGTCAAAAATGTTATAAATTGATTTGCATTGTAATGAGGGAAATAAGTATTTGACCCCCTCTCAATCAGAAAGATTTCTGGCTCCCAGGTGTCTTTTATACAGGTAACAAGCTGATATTAGGAGCACACTCTTAGAGGGAGTGCTCCTAATCTCAGGTTGTTACCTGTATAAAAGACACCTGTCCACAGAACCAATCAATCAATCAGATTCCAAACTCTCCACCATGGCCAAGACCAAAGATCTCTCCAAGGATGTCAGGGACAAGATTGTAGACCTACACAAGGCTGGAATGGGCTACAAGACCATTGCCAAGCAGCTTGGTGAGAAGGTGACAACAGTTGGTGCGATTATTCGCAAATGGAAGAAACACAAAAGAACTGTCAATCTCCCTCGGCCTGGGGCTCCATGCAAGATCTCACCTCGTGGAGCTACAATGATCATGAGAACGGTGAGGAATCAGCCCAGAACTACATGGGAGGATGTTGTCAATGATTTCAAGGCAGCTGGGACCATAGTCACCAAGAAAACAATTGGTAACACACTACGTCGTGAAGGACTGAAATCCTGCAGCGCCCGCAAGGTCCCCCTGCTCAAGAAAGCACATATACATGCCCGTCTGAAGTTTGCCAATGAGCATCTAAATGATTCAGAGGACAACTGGGTGTAAGTGTTGTGGTCAGATGAGACCAAAATGGAGCTCTTTGGCATCAACTCAACTCGCCGTGTTTGGAGGAGGAGGAGTGCTGCCTATGACCCCAAGAACACCATCCCCACCGTCAAACATGGAGGTGGAAACATTATGGAGTGGCCTAGCCAGTCTCCAGACCTTAATCCCATAGACAATCTGTGGAGGGAGCTGAAGGTGCGAGTTGCCAAACGTCAGCCTCGAAACCTTAATGACTTGGAGAAGATCTGCAAAGAGGAGTGGGACAAAATCCCTCCTGAGATGTGTGCAAACCTGGTGGCCAACTACAAGATGCGTCTGACCTCTGTGATTGCCAACAAGGGTTTTGCCGCCAAGTACTAAGTCATGTTTTGCAGAGGGGTCAAATACTTATTTCCCTCATTAAAATGCAAATAATTTTATAACATTTTTGTCATGCGTTTTTCTGGATTTTTTGTTGTTATTCAGTCTCTCACTGTTCAAATAAACCTACCATTAAAATTATAGACTGATCATTTCTTTGTCAGTGGGCAAATGTACAAAATCAGCAGGGGATGAAATACTTTTTTCCCTCACTGTATGTAGGCTACATGGGGGATCTTTGTCTTCGTACATATATATACATCTCTCATGTAGCATTTTGTTCTTTATGTTAATGTTTGGATTGGCTGTGAAGGCTGCATTTCAAAAATACATTTCGTACCTGCTATTGATTCTTGGCCTGCAAACGGATCTCCCTGGAAAGGATCGCCTGGAAAATAAACACAAAGCAATGTCCTTTCAGCATGATGACAGTAGGTTTTTAATGCGGTGATGATTGGTGGTAATTATTGTGATCATAATACATATGATGACGGTAATAATGTTGAAAATACGACATAAGATGAAGAGTGATTTTGATAAAACAAGCTGATTAGGATTATGGTAATTATAAGACTCATGATGATTACGAGACACATGGTGATGATGAAGATGATCATTATAAGATACCTATTGATGACGGTGATGATTATGACAAAACACTTAAGGATGTCGATGATGATGATGATGAGACATGCATTAATATGGACAGTTCACAAACTGACCCCATTTACCCAAGGTAGGAATGCAGTTTGCTCAGAGAGGGCATCCTTTCTTTTATTATATCCAGCGTAGCTGTGGTTACGAGGCAACTAATGAATTGCACCGCATGCTGGGACACGGAGTCATATACCCGGGTGGATCGGCGTCCCTGCTCAGAAAAATAAAAATCGAAGCCCGTTCATTCTGGAAAAAACCTCGCAAGGCCGACGTTTGATTCCAGCTGCGCAAAGTGGGGTGTGGAATGAAAACATCCAATGCCTCCACAATTCTTTGCCGAAGATAAAATCATATTCTTAGCTCTTTTGGTAAAGTCACATGACTTTACCGAAAGAGCTAAGAATATGAATCACTGCAGTCACGAAAGCTTCAAATCAAAGAAGATAAAATCGTTTCAAAAGTGAAGTCAACAGGGCCAGCTCAGCTATGTGACACCAGCACAGAATCGTGATGCCTCGATGGGAAATGGTGAGCCTGCGGCAATTTGCGTAAATCCTGCAAGACATTAAAAGCATGACTCTTTTACACGAGACTCACTGTGGCGCAGTACATCTGGCCACATACATTACGGCTTAAGAGCCGTGCAGATCAGAGTTATTGTTGCGTAACATTTAATAAGGGGGGTATGGAAATAGTTTTAAGATAGTGAAAGAAAAAGTGGTCTGGTAACTTTTATTTAGGCCAATCAATTCGTCATTGAAAGCCTTTACGTAAGCTAGTTGAGGGCCCAATGAGCTAGCGTGTTTGTAATAAGGGAAGCTTGGGAAATGTGCTGTAAAAATAATAACTAAATAAATATAAAATGTATGGTCCATTTTCAATCCACTCCTGGATGAAGGTGTCCCCATGCCATGTCGGTCTGGGTGTTGTTTTGGCAATGATGCTTTAAGCACGGTAGTCTGTACAAGTGGGTGACGTGGTAGGGGGAGAGCCAGGACCAGCTCAGATATCACGTGCCACTGATGGCAGCCTTGGCTGGCCATTAAACTCAAGTGGCTTGGGTTTTGCTAACCAGTGCACCACCATCTCCACCCAAAGATTCTGGGTGTTTGATTAAATATAAAATAAATAAATAAATCTAAGAATAATATATTTATACACACTAAAAAATGCAAAAAATAACATAATTTAACTAAAGAGTGTTAATTCATTATCTCCAATAACTTTCAATGCAATCATTATTGCAGGTGGGTGTAAGAGTGTTGGTGCAGTGAATAGCACACTGCACAAATAAACCCTGCGCCAAGAGTAACATATCGGGCCACAGCGAGCGTCAGTGGCGAACGACATCTGAACTTGTCCTGGGCCATGAGCCCTCGCCAACTGATGCTGAATAGCGTGAACTATGGTCAAAACAAAGATAATGATCCCCCGTATTGCCTCAATAGACTGTTGGGGCAAGTGCTGTGAGCGAGCACCTATGAAAGCCGGCACGGCACACTACGGAGTGGGTGGCCTACACCACGCCCGGCCGCCTTTGTCTCCCCAGTGTTGATGTTTTTACACATTGCACGAGGTACTCATTTGAGGCAGAATCGACCTAGGGGAGGCCCAGGACCGGTTCAACTAATATTCACCGGTGTTGGCCGTGAGCGGGAATCGAACTCGGGCCACCAGGTCCGCGGCACGGCGCGCTAACCGCTGCATGCTCAGACAACCCTGATGTGACCGACACGCTTTGAGGGAGACCATCCAACAGCGGACTGGCGAGGGGGTGTATATCGTGATTCATTATATTATGGGACCTCCCCTGCCAGTATCAAAGTGTAGTGACGTTACGGATGTCACTATGGCGCTAAGCGACAACTACTGTCGCAGGAGTGGAGACGCATGTCGGAGTCTTCTGGGCCACCGGACCATAAATCGACATGCAAGCGGGCCATAGGGGGCTCGAGGGACACGTGACGGGGAGCCGAGAGCTTCTGGCAGGATCGAGAGGGGGGCGTGGCCGAGGGCGGAGCGAGTCCGCGCTCGGGGGGATAAAGGGGAAGCCCCGACAGCGATCGGGGCTCGTCTGTGGAATCAACCCTGGGTCCTGCGTCTCGTCTCGTCGTCATCGGGTCTTCGGTCTTTGCTCGGCATCGTGGGTCAGGCAGCGCGTAGGCTGACTGATCCGTTCGTGTAGTTAACCCACTGCTCACATAGTTAACCGTGTAGCTACATATAGCAGTAGAACCAGTGGACGTTGAGTGTGTTACCCTGTTGGGGAGTTAATAAATAAACGTGTTGCCTCCAACTCCTGTGTGTGCCTCCATACAACACACCACAAAAATACAAGAATAGGTTTTAGCCTTTCTGGCAATAAAACAGTTTGTGTTAAGATGTTTAATGCAGACATGATTCCTTGCAAAAGGCTTCTGTTTGGTGTTTTAACATCTTAGCACAAACTGTTTAATTGCCAGAAAGGGGAAAACCTATTCTCATAGTTATTCATTATGTTAACGCTGTGAAAGGTATTGTCATACGCTGCATATAATACTGCCATACTTCCTTTGAAGGGATCCTCTGCTTTGAAGACGCTTTCTGTAGCAAAGGGGTGCTCCTTTTGGAAGGGGTCCTTCTTGCCCTCAGCGGATGACGGAGGGAACATTGGCGCTTTGGAGTGAAAGGGATCCTCCTACAAAAGGGACGAGAAATATACATAGATATAAAGTTGAAAATTAATGAGAAAAATTACTTAAGCATTAAAAACCAACCCCTCTACAAGCTATAATGCACTGTGGCACTTGACGACTTTCATAATTTTGGTATTTTTCCCCCAGTAATTTTCCGCAATGTTGCTGATCTCTATTTTTGCATTTGCCGGCCAATACTGGCTGAAGGGCCGTGCCAGACGAAAGCCATCGCCAGACGAAAGCCAACATCCAGTGCTGCACTGCAACTCTACCGGCGGCTGTGGATAAAGATAAAAAATAAATAAAACATCCAAACACTGATGCACATTCTGTGGGATGGGAAAATTATCCCGGCTGACGCATGTGGTGCACATTTACGACACTTAATGGACGGCTTGAATATTAGTAGGGCTAACCGGGGAGTGGGGGGGGGCAAGGGCAAATGGTCCAAGTCACCAATAATGGAACGAGGGTAAATGGCATTTCTGAAAAAAATCCCTTATGTTTGAAATTGCCGTCCGTTTTGTATAACCGAGACTGACACCAAAGCTGCTAATGCGTGTATAAAATAAACGCCTTGGTCCCCCGCCTCCTACCCAACTTTGTTACAATCCCAGACATGTGACTCTAATTGGCTCATAAGAGCATGTGACAGCAGCTGGCCCACGCGCCACCCGTTCAGATGGTTAATCATCGCCAAGAGGTAAAGCACTAAGCAGCAGTGTAAACCGCCCGGCACAATCCAATTGATCACACGTAAGTGACCAAACAAGCAGATAAATGCGCCTCTTTCACAGATCTGTCCCTCGGAATAAAAAAATATAAGTGTTTATTACACATCCCATCACCCATATGGCCTTTCTTCTGGGAATGCATCATTTCAGCAGCAGCGGTGTGCAACGCAAGTGACGCTCTGGACCGGATTCGACGTTCGGGATCTCATCAGCTGAGTCAGGCTTGCTTCAGCCAACGTCGGTGAACTCCCTTGGGGGGGCCCCCCTCTGTTAGACATGAGCCTGAATTCAAAGCAAAACTATTTAATAATAATCTTTAGCTGAATTGTGGAGAATATAAGAACAAAATAAATAACCAAATTGCGTCTCCTTCACATATCTGTCTCTCCATTTGAAAAACAAAATCACCACTGCTATCCTTTCAGGATAGCAGTGGCGAGTGTTACTCCTTTCTCCTTCGCGACATTTTGCCTCCCATGTCCGACGCATCTTCAAGCCTAAAGATGTGTTTACCTTTCTCATTCTTTACACACCAAAGTTTTTTTGTATTGTTTGTTGTTGTAACTTTCTGACCCGCACCGACTGGACATCTTTGAAAAAGAGCTTTATAGCTCATTGGCTTTCTCCAGGATAAATAAATATTCTGATTCTAAAGATGGTCACTGCGGGTTGGCCTAGAACGGGTTCAGATATCACTGGCTACTCATATTAGCCGTGGCTGGGAATAAAACTCGCGTCGCTGGGTTCGTATCACAACATGCAAACCATGCATCATTACATCGTGTGAGTGAGCACTGATTGTTTGTCAATAGTGCAAATTATCCCAAAAGAGTAACCTTTGAGAGAATTTCTCATACATCAAGCCGTGAAAACATACATCAATACAAAAGTATATTTTACGCATGCCACGGCTGATGGGATGGGTCACACTCGGAACCACGCCTAACAGACAGGGTCCTTGCCTACAAACATCTGCCAATTCACGAGCATTTGTTAATTTTTTGGCATTTTCTCTAGGGACTTACAACTAATGCTGACAGTTTGTGTATTTACAGGGACTCCTCTACTTACGAACGAGTAACGTTCTAGAGGTCTGTCCGTAAAGGGATTTGTTCGCAAGTCCAACATTACTCCTGTCGATTCCAAACACGTTATACGGCATGTACACTAAACACGGGGAATGGCTTTAAAAGTTGCATAATCCCCCGTAGATGTCACTGGTTCTTCACGTTCTGCAGATGCAGTTGCCACCACCGCCATCTATTGCGCAGCGGTTGAACTTACAACTCTCGATTCGAACAAACTGGACGTACGGACAAGTTTGTTCGTATCTCTGAAAGTTCATGTCGAATGTTCCTTAAGTAGAGGAGTTCCTGTATATTGTTATGGGTGTTGGTGGACTTCAGAGACAAGCCAGCACAATCGTTAAAAATTGCATCAACATGTTTTGGTTTGACCGCCGTTTTTGCTAGATTATGAGATGCTCCATAATGTATGACGCACCACAAAGCTTTGGGGGTCATTAAAAAAAAAGGTGTTCTTTATAAATCGGGAGTATGCGGTGCAATGATTACGTAGCATCTGCTTTATAATGGGGAAGAGGGTCCCCTCCCCCTCTCGCCTGCTCCGATGAGTCCGATGTGAGGGAGGATGTAAAATAAAAAAATATTTTATTAAAAAACACATGAAGGAAAGGTGTCTTCTGGAACGTTAGTCTGAACGGCTGGTTGGCGATCTTCTGTCATCCGCAACTCAGTCTGGTGCACCCCTAACTTCGCTTTAAAATAGAGGGAATAAGGCGTCTTGTAATTCATAAAATATGGAATAATAATTCAGAAGAGAGGGGGCGGAGTTTCTGATCTTTCAGTGTATGTAGAACTTCTTTCGCACCACACGTAGCCAACCGTGCTCATCGGAGGCGCTTTCAAAAGGGGGTTCATCAGCCCCCTCGAGCGCCCCCGCCCACCGCCGCCCACGGGACTCACTCTCCGAACAATCTGGCTTCTTAGTCGCCATCGCTTCATCAGCTGCTGTGCACCCTGGGCTCTGCAAAAAAATACGACAGCCGCTTTCCCCCTTTCCCACTCCCCAGTGTGTCCCTCACGACCCCCACCAACCGTTACCACAGAGCCCTTATCTTCCCGTATTCTAATTCCCATCTCCGTCTCACGCTGCCATGTCTATTCTTTGCTTATTTATTAATTTTCCTTTCCATTTCCTCGGACACTGTTCTTTCCAGGGATCGTATGCAACCTTGCTGCCCTCTCTCCACACGTATGGGATGACTGCCAAACCTCCTATTTTGCTTGCCTAAGTCTATTTGCCTGCCTAGACATGTGGGTCTCTCTCGGCAACTCTCATCCTTGCTTTCATCCATGAATAAGGACAACTGCCAATTGCCAGTTGCAGTGTGAAAGGCAGTCATGGGGCATTCAATCGTGGTTCTACAGCGTAGATTGTAGCGGTCGTGCTGCCACATATCGGGGTGTGCCGCTCGGCATGGCGTCCGATGTTTCCCCCCACGTGCTGGGAGCTGCTTCAGTTCACCTCCTGAAGAAGCTCCCAGCAGGGAAGCACACATCGTCGGAGAGCTGTTCAAGCAAGCGGTGTTTGTTCGACAAAAACGGGCGCTGCCACAGTACGACTCACTTTTGAATAGGCAGCATTAATGTCAACGGATGGGAAATCGTTTCATTATTTTTAAATAGCTCTTTTTTTCATTGTCGTCGATTTGTGCCAAAGGCAGACACACACCTGCCCCACTGTGAGCCCACAATCGTTTATCAGTGTCCAACAACTACAGGGGCAATGACATGGAAACCCACAAGGGCTCGTTTGCTTGCCAAACCCAAAGCACGACGTTCAAAATTTCAAGCGTGCCTTTACGACGAACGGCGGCATTTAAGGCACCGTAACGTTACGCGCGCACGTGCCCTCAATCTAAATGCAACCCGCGCCGTGGGTTTTAGCGAGGCACGGGTTTTAGCGAGGCACGGCCAGCGGGAACACAACGGCGGGGTGAATTTACCGTGCGGCCCGCTCGCAAGAAAGCCCGACCAAGGCAAATCAGCCGACACACAGGGAAGCAGCTCACCCGTCAAGCGCCTCTTCGTCCCCTGCCCCCCCCCCCGCCCCCACCACACACTGGCTCGCAAATACACTCAGCATCGGGAGCCCTAATTGCATACTTAATTGTTAATTGATCACAAGGCTGCGGATTAATTAATCCATGTGAGCGGAGACGCTTTTGTAAATTAGGCTAAATTGGATTTGTTAAGTGAGCAGTTCGGTCGCCCGCCATGAAGTACCACATAAACACGCGCGGCTCCCAAAGAGCCGAGTTCAACGCAGCGCTGGGGCACACCAGATTGCGGAGCACGGAGCACGCCGCGATGTTATCGCTGCTGGTATCTTAACGCCGGGGATGGCAGTGGAATGACAAAGAACGACGGCTTTAACACTCGTCGAAATTAATTAACGCACAACATCGGGGGAGCAGTGGCTCGGTGGTGTACGCACGCCACGCCCGACGTCTCTAAGTTGAATTTACGTTCAGTGGCGAGAAAATCGGTGGCGAGTGATATCTGAACCGGGCCTGGCCCTTAACAAACCCACACCGACCGGGGTGGTGAAGTACGGTCAAGCAACCACCACCATCATCAACATGCCGTGGGGATGAATTGATAGAGCGCTGTAAAGTTATACATACATTACCCACAATTGCCGTTTAAATGTATTTCAATGTGGAACGCTGATATTCGATAAAAGCAATACCAAACTACAGCCGATCCTGCGATGCACCAAAAGCCTTGCGATAACAACCCACAACCACACGACGTCACCCACCCGCGCGCCACTCCGTGAAAATTGTACATTTCTGTAAAGCATATGGACCCAATTCAAGTTTGCCCTCCATGGAAATTTTCCACATAGCCCAAACACAAATAGATAGACAATAAAATAAAGATTTAGGGTGTGCTCCAACGTTAGGGTGTGCTACAATGTGGTACTTGTCACAGAGATCCACACGAGCCTTGGCTTGCTCAATCGAGGACAGGGCTCTTTGTGCGCGATTTCGGCTCTTTGGTGTTTACAGTGAGGGGAAAAAAGTATTTGATCCCGTGCTGATTTTGCACATTTGCCCACTGACAAAGAAATGATCAGTCTATAATTTTAATGGTAGGTTTATTTGAACAGTGAGAGACAGAATAACAAAGAAATCCAGAAAAATGCATGTCAAAAATGTTATAAATTGATTTGCATTTTAA